AGTAAGTCCTTGGCTTCCACTGGGGTTTGGTTTCAGGACCCCATTGACATCAAAATCTGTGGATGCTCAAGTCCCATTTTATGCAATTGCATAGTAAAATGACATCCCTTATTAAAATTGACAAACAATCCAGCCGGTGTGAGAGAGAACATGACAATCTCTGAAATAGCACGATGCATGACATAAAGCTATCTTTCTGCAGCAAAGTTTGCATAAAATTGTGCCCCTTGGAAAGGCAGTCTCTCCCCAAGATGGCCCTACCCATTTTTTTGCTATTATATTGAGGAATGTGATGTGAGAGTCCCAGGAGCATCTGTTTGATATAATTAGCAATGACTAACCTGGAAAAGGAGTTAAGAGGACAGTGATGTAAGAAACCTGGGCCTCTTTAACTGGAGCACCACCAAACATCTCACGGGAAATGTCTGAAGAGGAAACAAAACCAAGCTGCCTGGCAATGTTTTAGATTTGTCCAAGGCAGAAGCTTTCCCAAAATACCAATGAAAAAAAGAGAAGTTGTGTTTCTGGATGCACCAGGATCAGTTCGATGCCATAGTCTTCACATCGGATACTGACATATAAAAACTTTGCAATTTAAAATAAAAAAATAAAAAGCAACACAGAACGGCTATGAAAAGCCTTATCCTTATACACAGTCAATTCCCCAAGGGTTGTACAAACAGAAAAAAATTAATGTGCTGAGGAAAGGAGGGAGCCAGTCTAGTCTCCATCAGCAGGGGATTCCAGAACCTGGGAGCAGCCACTGAACAGGCTTTCTTTTCCCCCTTCTTCACTACCATATAATCCATATTATCAAAGCAGATAAACCACACTATCTGCTTTGAACTAGATTATATCAGTCTGCACTGCCATATAATCCAATTCAAAGCAGATAATCTGGATTCCAATTGCTGATCATCCTACTGGTAGTTTAATAATATTTGAACTCTGTAATGTACTTTAATCCATCTCTGATTTAATTATTGTGGGCTGTCTTTAAGTCCAAACACTAGGGAAAATATAATTAAACAAATGGGCAATATTACGAGAGCAGGCCTTCTACATCTGCAAATTTAACTTTTGTTGGTTTGAGTATTTGCAGATTTGATTAAAATGTTTTCTCTAAAATATCTAGATCACCCAGCACAACTCTATATCTAAGTTGACCATATAGTTGTGCCGAAGGGTATAGAGATTCCTAGAGAGCTGTTTTCTCATTTTTTAGAGATGTGGTTTTTCTACTTTCACAGGGGTCCTAGCCTCTGCAACAGTGGAGGTTCTACTGTAGTACTATTTCTCTCTCTTGTCTCTCCATTTCCACTTTGAAATCAATCTACCTTCTTTTGTCATAAAAAGTTCATTAGTTGCAACTAAGAGATGAGACCACAGAACCACTCTTTGCAGTTCTTCCCCCCAAATTGTTTTTTAAATTGAAAATATATAGCTAACTTGACAAAAATCAACAAAGTAAAATAAAATTTATAGACTATTGGCATTCCTTAACAAAGCATACAATAAAGATGCATACACACATTGCTTTTCCCAGTAGAAAAGAGCTACACTAGTGCAAAAACTGAGGTCCAAAAGAGGATCAGAGAACTCAAGAACATCTGGTGGACAAAAAAGGCTCAAGAAATCAAACACCTTACCGATGCCCATGATACACAGGGATTCTTTAATGCCACAAAGGTCATATATGGACCACCCCGAACACCATGAAAATGTTGAGGAACATTGGAACAAACTGTAGACCTCCATCATCACAGCCTGCGAAGAAACTATTGGATATCAAACCAAGAAACATCAAGATTGGTTTGATGAAAATTACGATGAGATCCAACAGCTAATTGACAAGAAAAGGAAAGCCAAACATGGCAGAGAGACATCAACTGTGCTGCTAAGAAAAAGATCTACGCCAGAACAAAAGCTGAGGTCCAAAGAAGGACCAGAGAACTCAAGAACATCTGGTGGACAAAGAAGGCTGAAGAAATCCAACACCTGGCAGATACCCATGATGCTCAGGGATTTTTCAAAGCCACAAAGGTCATCTATGGACCAAGAAACCATGGCATACAGCCTCTACGCTCATCAACTGGAACCAAACTCCTGAAGGACCAAAAATCAATCGCACTCCGTTGGAAAGAACACTACCAAAGCCTCCTGAACCGTAGCTCCAATGTGGCCGAAGAGGTTCTATCACAAATCCCGCAACAACAAACCAGGGATGAGCTTGCAGCACTGCCTAGTTTGGAAGAAGTCAGCAATGCCATCAGCCAACAAAAAAATAACAAAGCCAGTGGACCTAATGGGATCCCTGCTGAAATATTTGAAGAGAGTGAACCTGACCTGACACACCAACTCCACCAGCTCATTGAAAAAGTGTGGGTGACCAATAAAATCCCAACAGACTTTAAAGATGCCACCATCATCACTGTTTCCAAAAAGAGGGAAAGAACAGAATGTGGAAACTACTGAGGTAGCTCTTTTCTACCTCTGCTGGGAAAATCCTCACAAGAATCCTTGCAAACCGCCTTCTACCTATTTCAGAAGACACCCTCCCAGAACGGGTTCCGCTCCTCCAGAGGAACAGTGAATATGATCTTTACTGCACGACAGCTCCAAGAAAAATGCAGGGAACAAAACTAACCTCTGTACATGGCATTCATTTATCTCACAATGATATTTGATGCAGTGAATCACAGTTCTCTCTGGACCATCTTCCAAACAAAATCGGATGCTCTAACAAATTTGTGAACATCCTGTGGCTCCTCCATGATAACATGATGGCAACAGTCTTGGACAGCAATTGTTCCCAAAGTGACCCATTTAAGATGGAGTTAGGTGTCAAAAAAGGATGTGCTATTGCCCCAATCTTTTTCTCCATCTTCATTGCCATAATACTGTACCTTGTCGATGGGAAGCTTCCCAATTGGACAGATGGCAAGTTATTTAACCTCAGCAGACTGAAAACCAAAACCAACATCTGTTATAGAACTCCAGTATGTTGATGATAATGTAGTCTGTGCTCATTCAGAAAAAGACTACAAACTACTCTAAATGCCTCTGCAGAAGCATACAAAAAGCTTGGACTCTCACTGAACATCAAGAAAACCAAAGTCTTTCAACAGGCACCTGTCAATCCCTCTGCAATGCCAGAAATACAGCTTAATGGTGTAACGTTAGAAAATGTTGACCATTTCTGCTACCTTGGCAGTCACCTCTCTACAAAAAATCAACATTGACACTGAAATACAACACCATCTGAGCTCTGCAAGTGTAGCCCTTTTCCAAATGAAGGGATATCAAGGTGCTTGTTTATAAAGCTATTATCCTCCCAACCTTGCTATATGCCTGCAAAACATGGACTATCTACAGAGTCATGTGCAATTCTATCAGCACTGCCTCCAAAAAATCCTGCAAATCTCTTGGGAAGACAGGCAAACAAATGTCAGTGTGCTGGAAGAAGCAAAGACCACCAGCATTGAAGAGATGATCTTCCATCATCAATTCCGTTGAACTGGCCACATTGTCCCAATGCCCGGTCACCATCTCCCAAAGCAGTTACTATACTCCCAACTGAAGAATGAAAAAATGGATTTAAAGATGGCCTTAAAGCCAGCCTTAAAAACCGTGGCATAGACACTGAGAACTGGGAAGCCCTGGCCCTTGAGCACTCTAACTGGAAGTCAGTTGTTACCAACAGTGCTGTGGAATTCAAAGAGGCACGAATGGAGAGCAAAAGCAAGAAATGAGTCAAGAGGAAGGTATGTCAAGCCAACCCAGACCAGGACCGCCTTCCATCTGGAAACCAATGACCTCGCTGTGGAAGAACATGCAGGTCAAGAATAGGTCTCCACAATCACCTACTGACCCACCACTGAGCCTACACTTGGAAGGCTATTTGGACCCAAGTGATCACCGATGATGTTGGTTTCAACCTAGGAGGACTGTCACCCTGGTTATCCAAATTATTAGATATAGTTTGGGGGCAATAAGCACTCTATTTTGCTTTCCGTTTTGTTAGTGCTGAACCTGTCTCTGCTTTCCACATCTCCTCCTGCCCTGTGTAACTTCAATGGCTGCCCCACGAATCTGGGAACTCCCTCCTCCCTTAGAAAAACACATCCTTCCTATGTGGGGTGGACCACCAAATGACATAAATTCCATGATTCCATTACATCATGCAGTGCCATTTAACATGGTGTCGAACTGCATTAATTCTAGAATGTAGATGCACCCAAAATCTTGGGTATGAGCCTTGAAGTCTTAGAACCTAGGATTCTCTTACTTTGAAACTCTGCTTGTGAGATTTTCTCCATCCTATGTCAAATAAATTTGTATTATTTTGTTTCCTACAAGCCTAATGTGGATGGGCTGAAGAGGCCATTTGCTACTATATCTCAGGCTTCAAAATGTCTTTGGTGAACCCCAGCAAGTGGATGCATTTCCTCACCCCATGCACCACTTCTCTGTCATGATTTTCTCAGAGGGTAACATATGTACAGCTAGATAACTCTCCATGTACAGAGTTAGATTGAGGTCTATGTATTTTAATCTACAGAATATATTTTGCCTAAGAAAAAAAAAAGGGCAGAGGAATGTAATTTTAAGAGAAGAAAACCTGAATGGAAGCTAAAGATGGAAAATTGCACCCTGAGGTTATTTCAGAGCAATTCCTGGCATTCCTGTTTCACTTAATTTTTTTATTGCAACTGCCTGAAGCAACATTGTTTGAAAACTGAAATAGTTTATTTCCTCACCAGTTTAGCTACCGTGCACACATCTGTGATATATATTCTACATTTTTATATAGGAGACACTGGGGATTAGAAATAGTTTACAGTCCTAGGAAATCATGGTTTTGATAATGTAAAGGATTAGCATGTTTGTAAAATTCCACCTTAAAACTAATTGAATTTGTCTGCGGCCAATTCTTTTGTACAGAAAGGCTTGGCTGAACAGTGACACATAACGTTTGGAGCTAGATGTTCCACATCTGGAATCCAAATGTTAGATGTGATATAAATAAGCCAGCACAACAACCCAGTGGGGCGTTTTACAGCCAGAAACACAAGCAACATGGACCTCTGTCTTCTCTCTGTGTTCCTGCCTCTGCTCACAGTGGCATGGGGCCAATATGGAGACTATTATCACTCCTATGGGGACAATGATGACTGGGTCAACCTGTATCGGCAGGGCTTCAACTTCCAATGCCCACATGGGCAAGTGATAGTGGCAGTGAGGAGCACTTTCAGCAAAAAAGAAGGCGCCGACCGACTGTGGAACTATGCTTGCATGCCTACTCCGCACACCCTGGGAGAACCAACCGAGTGTTGGTGGGAAGAGATCAACAGAGCAGGACTAGAATGGTAGGACAATCATATTTGCATTTGCTTTAGGTGAAGACACTAGAAACCCCAGCACTGTCAAGCTGATGAAATAGTTAATAATAGCAATGTATGCAAGGAGCAACAAAATGCATGTTAATAAAATTGTGATCTGCTCATGCTGGTGGATCAACAATCCAGCAATCTGTAGTGATGGTACCATAGCTTATTTCTCTTGCTGAGACAACCATTAATACATCCCCATTCCTTTGCAGATCGTCTCTCATGTACTTTCACCCTTGTACTACCAGCTCAGCTTTCTCAAATGCTTTACTTGGTGATAGGCAATAGTTATGCTTGATTTTAAACCATTGTTACTCTTTGCTTTTTTCAATGTCATGGCTCTACTGAAGCAGATAGTAGAAGAACCAGGAAAATATGCACAATCTTTTTAAGCAAAAGAAGTTATAATGTTGAGGAGAGAGGGGAATAAATTCAGATATCGTTCAGTTAATGAAATAGATGTGTACCTGGGCTTTCCTTTTCCACAGGAGTTTAAGTACCAGAGGTAGGAATAATATTAAAAGAATAGGGGACAGGTCCCTACCCCCCATAGAAGAAGGGCTCCTTCCACACAGCTGAATAAAATCCTACATTTTCTCCTTTGAGCTGGGATATATGGCAGTGTGGACTCAAAAATCCCAGTTCAAAGCAGATATTGTGGGATTTTCTGCTTTGATATTCTGGGATATAGGGCTATGTGGAAGGGCCCAAGAAGAATTCAATAGGTTTCAACAAGGTTTTTATTCAAAAGAAACAATATGCACATATGAAACAAAGCAACCACATCAGATAAGGCTTGCATAAGGAAATGAAAACAATCATGATCCTTTTACACACCACTTGAAAGCTTCTTCCAAAATACATCAAGGATATATATTTCCAACCACTAACCTTCACTTTTGCATAATTTCCATGATGGTAGCCAAACTTAGGTTCCTTCCACACAGCTGTATGAAATCCATATTGAACTGGATTATATGGCAGTGTGGACTCAGATAATCCAGTTCAAAGTAGATATTGTGGATTATCTACCTTGATATTCTGGGTTATATAGATGCATGGAAGGGTCCTTTGTCCAACCAAAATATACCTGTATACAAGATAAATTGAGGTTGAATCGTCTTATGAAATTATAGTTGATCTCTGCCTAACATTTCAGAAATTTGAAGACCTTGTTCTATACTGGATCACCATAAAATGAAGGAAATTTGTTGCTAAACAGGGGAATTTATTGTTTGAATTGAATTGCTTCATGGCTTGGTAGCAAATTCTCTTGAACTCAGAATGACTTCTTTTACATTTTTCAGTTCCCAGTTTCTCTTTATATTATTTATATATAACACTAGGTCACGTAGGTGCACTGAAATCTTCATATTTTAGGCAGAACACACACACACAACATAAGCATGTCTGCTAACTTTAATGCCTTGACTCATTCCCAAGTTAGGATTCAATACATATTGTTTAAATGAATATGTAAAAGGAGGAATTTTCCAACCCTTGATTTACCGCCAAGAAACTCTCTTCCTTCTTTTCCTCTGCCTCTCCTTCCAAGTAAAATAGGCCACATGTCTTAGGCCCCTTCCACACAGCTGAATAAAATCCTACATTTTCTGCTTTGAACTGGAATATATGGCATTGTGGACTCAGATAACCCAGTTCAAAGCAGATACTGTGGGATTTTCTGCCTTGAATTTCTGGCTGTATGGATATCAGGTGGTGCAATACCAGCTAAATAGTATAATTTCTCCAGTGGTGTAGGCCATAGACATCCTGTGATAATGTGGCATGTCTCATTAAGGGCCACATCCAGTGTTTTAATGTAGTGAGATGTATTCCACACTGGACATGCAGAGTAGCAAAGTGCAAGAGCAGATGTCTTCACTTACTCAATTGAGTGCCAGTAATAGGACTGAGCATCCAGAAATTAAATTCAAAGCTTTAAAGAGCTAACCAGTGAAACCCCCTACTTGCATGGATGACTTTACAATGCCATTTATGAATTTTGGTAAGTTCTTATCAATATGTGACTACAGAGAAATCATTATCAGCATGGGACCAAAATCATATCTGTGAGAAGTGGAATGCATTAAATCTACCAAGGAACATTTTAACTGACCAGTTGGTAGCAATAGAGTGATCAATGTTTTATGCTTGTTTGATAGATTCCTATCCCCTTTCCCAGTGATTCCCAAACTGTGCTCCTCCAAATGTTTTGGACTTCAACTCCCACAATTCCTAACAGCTGGTAAGATGGCTGGGAATTTTGGGAGTTGAAGTCCAAAACACTTGGAGAAGCACAGTTTGAGAAACAGTGCCCTATCCCATCAGGTGCACTGCTTCCAGCCTTTAGTTTCATTCAAACTAGCAACATTTCAGATGGAAATGGGACATTATTATCTGCTGAAGATACAGTATTTTGTTCAGCAGTTGGAAGTGCATGACGTTGGTGTTTGCCCTTTATCATCCAGACATATGCTCTGATGCACCATCCTTTCCTTGATCTCAGCATGGCTCACAAGAGTACACCGAAGGAGAGGAGGTTCCATAGTTACCATATATACTTGAAGATAGGCTGGGCCTTTCAGCCTTTTTTGGGGGCGGGGGCGGGGTGGAAAAAGCATCCCTTGGTTTATAATGGGGTGAAGGTTGGGTGGGGGAGCCTGGAGGCCATTGCTTGCTATATATGATTTATTTATTTCTCCTCTTTCCCTCCTTTATCAGTGTGTTTCCTTTTCCAAACCCTCCCTCACTCACTAAGAGGGACAGAAGCCCTTGCAAGTCAGGAATATCCATTAATCTTATAATTTGTTAATCTCTCCTACAGATATATAGGCATTCCTGCAAGCCTTTGCAATCCTTATGTAGCTATATATTATCTCTATCTATCTATATACATTATTTTTATATATTAATTTTCCCCTCATATGTTTGCAAATCTTTGCAAATCCTTTATACATATAGATATCTAGAGATTTCCATGTACCTGTATATTTGTATCTATATGTATACATTATTTTTATATATGAATTTTCCCCTCACGTGTTTGCAAGTCTTTGCAAACTCTATATAGAAATTATAATAAGCTTAATAAACTTCAATAAATTTAAAACAACAATGGCTTTAAAAGATTAGATTATACACTAAATAAATAATCTCTTTAGACCAGATAATTTAAAACCATATAAAACAACTTAAAATAATGTCAAACATGATACATAGGCAAGCAGGATAAAATCAATTAAGCCCTGAAGGTTTTAATAAAAAGCCAGAATGGCACTGGGGTTAGTGCCAACCAGGGCTCTCTTTTATAGACTGGCTTAAAATAGTATCATAAAGCACACGCAAGAAATAAACATACAAGCCCATTTGTTTAAAGATTATCATATTAATGGAACTCTGCAAAAAAATGTTCACATCTGTTTCTGATAGTGCTCATCTTTGCCGATATGACTTTGCTTGCATTTCTTTGGCCAAAAGAAGGGCTTCTAAAAGATGGGCTTTTCTGTTTCTTTGCTGAAAGAAGATCTGATGCGGTATCTCCCCTCATTCTGTGTGTGGGCCCTTCCACACAGCCATATAACCCAGAATATCAAGGCAGATAGTCCACAATATCTGATTTGAACTGAATTATCTGAGCCCACACTGCTATATAATCCATTTCAATGTGGACTTTGTACAGCTGTGTGGAAGGGGCCTATGTGCATGCACAAGAGAGAGAGAAAGCGAAAGAGAGAATGCTGTTTATGGCTCAATTGTACATTTCTCCGCGCATGCACAAAAATTTATCATCACTAACATCAACAGTGTTTTTCTTGCCATGCTACTGGTGTGCAAGAACAAATGCAGGAAATTATTCTAACTATGAATATCCAATTATCTTCCATCCAATTATCTTCCATCCAATTACAAAGCTCTGGTGTGCAGTATAATAACTTTATACTATTGTATCATCACAGCAACCTTGTGAGATAGAATGAGCTAAGAAAAGGCTATTCAACACTAACTGGTTCAGAGCTAACCAAAATTTTTAACCTGAAATGTCCTGTTTTTCAGGGTGGGGTGGTTCCAGAAAGCACTTTAACCTTGGATCAATTGGGTTTTTAAAATGTAGACTTCTCAGAAAGCATGTGCTTTTCGGGGGGGGGGGGGGGGCACATGCCCTGCTTTCTGGGATGGTACCAGAACACAAAACAAAAACCCACAGAAAAGCCTTTAAAAAGAAAATAACTTACCTGATCGCCATTTCGCCTTCTCTGGTGCTCTCCTGGCACATAAAAATGACACACCAGGAGAAAGTGGGGGGAGGGAGGAGTGATTTTCCTCCCCCCCCCCTTCTCCTGGCATGCCATTTCTACATGCCAGGGTAGTGCCAAAGAAGAGAAATGGCTCTGGGTAAGTTATTTTCCTTTTTTAAAAGCTTTTCTGAAAGGTTTGGGGAGGGTGTTAGAGCCCTCTTGGATATTCCAGGCTCACACAGCCTGGAAAACATGAGAGGGCTGTGTGGATGGCCCTCTCAGAAGTCCTAGGACTTTTGAGGGGGCAGTCCAGACTCCACCCATAGCTGGAAAGACCCAGGTCTTTCAAGAAGACCCAGGCTTTCCAGCTGACAAATTACTTCAGAGCAAAGCAGGGATTTCCTACTTTGTCCCAAAAGCACTTGCTTTTATGTGGGGCTCTCTACTGTAGATGTAAATAAGAATAAGGAAATCAATAGCAACTCAGATCCAAAAAAGCAAATGAGGCAATGCCTCTTTAGAAGGTTTCTGGTTTTCATTCAACAAATTGAAGTTGAAGTCCAGAACAGACCTCTTAACTCGGTTTATCAGAATAAACTTTGCCCATGCCACCTTTGTGCCAATTTACAACAGTAACTTCCTTGATGTAAGTACTAAATGAGATACGGCCATGTCATTAGCACCAACCACTATTTTATAATGATATTACACAGTAAGCCTAACCGTTTTTTGTGAAATGGAAAAACAAATGAAACAGTCTACTTCAAAGAGTAGTCTGGCTTTGATAGTTAACAGCTGAATAAAGACACACTAGGAGTTTATCTGCTAGGGTTTTGGAAGATGAAATACAGGAAATACTGCCTATAAGAAATCATTCCAGGATTCTTGAAGCAAAATAGCTACTTCAGTTGAAGCTACATTGTAAGTACTCATAAATTTGGCTTCCAAGACAGGCTTGTAAAAACACTCACTGCCAGTCTGCAGCAATTCTTCACTATTAAAAGACCCCCCCCCCCCCCCCCCCCCCCCCCCCCGCCTTCTTAGTGGGAGCATCCTGGTCATTTTCCAGACATTGTTAAACTCCTTAAACCAGGCATAGGCAAACTTTGGCCCTCCAGGTGTTTTGGACGTCAACTCCCACAATTCCTAACAGCTGGTAGGCTGTTAGGAATAGTGGGAGTTTAAGTCCAACACATCTGGAGGGCCAAAGTTTGCCCATGCCTGCTCTAAACAGTGGAACTCTCTGCCTTGGAGTGTGGTGGAGGCTCCTGCCTTGGAAGCTTTTAAACAGGGGCTGGATGGCCAACTGCTAGGGATACTTTGTGCTTTTTCTGCATGGCAAGGGGTTGGACTAGATGGCCCATGTGGTCTCTTCCAACTGTATGATTCTTATATTTTTAAAAAGCAATCAATCATTGGAAATTCATGGACTTAATAGTACTTTAATTCTACTTTAACAAGAATTGTACAGTTGGAAGAGACCACAAGGACATTCAGTTCAACCCCCCTGCCATGCAGAAACACACATTCAAAGCACCCTGGATGCATCCTATGCAATCCTGGGATTTGTAATTTTGTAGCCAGGTGGCCTTTTGTATGTTTGCCTATGTAGTCTGCTGCTCAGGAGCAACATAAATGTTCCCGATTTTCCTTTTTATAGTTTTTTAAAAAATGTTTAAAATATATATAATTAAGCATGACATGGGACTTAAATCACACCAACTTGCTAGCTGACCACAATTTATTTATTTATTTATTTTATTATTACTGCACTTGTAGACCGCCGTTCTCAGCCCTAGGGCGACTCACGGCGGTGTACAACATATAAAAACAATTTACAAAAAAGGCAATATCACAATAACAACAACATCACTATTAATAATACAATTACACTAAATCCTTCGTGACGTCTCATCGTAGAATCACAATCCAATCTCGTTATCCATATTCCGTTCCAGTCATCATTGCCAATTGTTGTAGCACTTAGTCAAACGCCTTCTCAAACAACCACGTCTTTAGTCTCTTGCGGAATGTTAAAAGGGAGGGCGCCTGTCTGATGTCTACAGGGAGGGTGTTCCACAGCCGGGGGGCCACCACCGAGAAGGCCCTATCCCTCGTCCCCGCCAGGCGTGCTGTGAGGCAGGCGGGATCGAGAGAAGGGCCTCCCCGGACGATCTCAAAGTCCTCGTGGGCTCATAGGCCGAGATGCGGTCAGACAGGTATTTTGGGCCGGAACCGTTTAGGGCTTTGTAGGCCAGCACCAGCACCTTGAATTGGGCCCGGTAGCAGATCGGCAGCCAGTGGAGCTGGAACAACAAGGGCGTTGTGTGCTCCCTGCGTCCCGCTCCTGTTAGTAACATGGCTGCCGCGCGCTGGACTAGCTGGAGCTTCCGGGCCGTCTTCAAGGGCAGCCCCACGTAGAGAGCGTTGCAGTAGTCAAGGCGGGATGTGACCAGAGCGTGTACTACCGTGGCCAAGTCAGACTTCCCGAGGTACGGGCGCAGCTGGCGCACGAGCCTGAGCTGTGCAAATGCTCCCCTGGTCACCGCTGAAACCTGGGGATCCAGGCTCAACGATGAATCCAGGGTCACACCCAAGCTGCGAACCTGCGCCTTCAAGGGGAGTGCGACCCCATCCAGCACAGGCTGTAACCCTATACCCTGTTCGGCCTTGCGACTGACCAGGAGTACCTCTGTCTTGTCTGGATTTAATTTCATTAGACGATGCTACTGGAAAATGAGATTAACAGGAAGACATTGGTTTTTATATATTTTAATTGTTTTGTGTGGATTTTATAATGTTGTTTTATTGTTTTTAATTGTATACCGTGAACTGTTATGGCATCAAATTGCTGCCAATTTGTAAGCCGCCTTGAGTCGCCTTTGGGCTGAGAAAGGCGGGATAGAAATATCGTAAATAAATAAATAATTCAACTGCTCTATTTTGGAAATCTACAATTCTCCAATCAGTCTTCTGCACATATAAGTCTTTGAGTCTATGCCCCACCCAGAATGTCTTGCAGTTGTTATTATTTTTTATTTTTTATTTTACTGAAATGAAAATGAAAAATGAAATATGGTTGAGGGCTGGAGGAAAACAACCTGTCTGGAAATATTGAGAGAGCAAGGAGGCAAGGAGAAACACACTCATTTAATGTCAGCATGTTGATGCAGAAGTGGAAGGAATCTATTGCACTGAGGTAAGTAGTCAGAAGGTAATAGGATCAAGAGATATCAATGGGTTTTGCCCATCATTTAAAAGGGCCAGCACTACAATCACAGAAGGAAGGCAAACTGGTAGCTGATTGCATATGGTGTTGTATTGGAAGTGGATGTGTTCATCATGTTGCAATTCTGGTTTGCCAGCCTTGTGTGATAAAGTCCCTGGACTGGACAACCATTCAAAGAAAAATACCTTTAAGTAATAAATATAATGTGTGTGTAAAGTAAGGCACACAATATGCAGGCAAGTGACATAAGAAGAGGATAGTGAAGCGGATAGGAACTGATGACTAACAAACATTTCCAGTCAGGGAACCTCAGCATGGGGTTGCTTTCAGCTTCCAGTAACCTTCAGCAATAGTGCTTGAAATGTAAAGAAAGCAAATTTAAAAAACCCATCAGTTTGTGTTTCCTCAATTTTGTGGTTTCTCTTCTCAGGTATCAAACATGTTCAAATAATGGATTGGTGGCAGGATTTCAGAGCCAGTATTTCCCATCTGTACTTGACCGGGAGTGGCAGTTCTATTGTTGCCGCTATAGCCGAAGATGCCCATATTCATGCTGGTAAGCCCACAAAAATGTTTGTAATGTACTAACAGCATATTATCAGCATGAAATCTGTTTGCCAGATCTGAAGAGTCCAGTGTGGAACAGCATATTAGAAAGGGAACGATTAAAGAAATAGAAATTAGGAGGTGGCAAACCTCCAGGAAATGGTATCATTTAAAATGAATACAATCTGTGTACAATGCACTTTAATCAGTCACACTTCTCTTTCAAGTATTTCTCGTATTTCGTTTCTTTCTTTGTGGTCTCTGTTGTGATATAGATAATGTAGTTTTAAAACAAATGTCCTAGGAATCCTTTGCGCATATGTGTGTGTGTGTATACACACACATGCACTTTGATTTTAAAGTTTTACTTACTTATCCTTGTTTGCCTGAAGTTCAAGAGGAAAAGTACACCCATTTAGTACCCCTCTTTCCTATCTGTGAATACAGCACAGGTGAAGGTGTGAAGCCATGATAAAGAAAAATAAATCATATGCATGCTTAGAAATAAATTGCACTTACTCTTTGGTAATTTAACTCAGAATTGCATTTTTGTATTACTCACACACACACACACACACACAAAATTTAAGTTTAATAACTTAGAAATCATAAATTGACATAAAATCTCAAGCTGCTGAACTGTTGAAACTACTTAGCATTCACCAGATTTCAAATATGTTGAAATGCAAATCCCATCATCCCTACCTACATGGCCATGCTAGATATAATGATAGGAATTGGAGACAACACTATCTGGAAAGCACTGAGTTTGAGAGTGCTAATATAACTATTCTGTTTAGAAATATGTTTTTTAGCAGTGCAACTTCAACAAGCTTACTCCTTAAAATGATGAAACAATGCTGTACCAATTCAAAGTATCTAACACAAACAAAGCTAAGCAGGAAAAGTTCAGTTACGCACTGGTGAGATGTGTATGTGATATTATGTGTCTAACCAGCTGTTGGCCTACATACATCAACAATACATATGGTCTAAAATTGAAACAAGCAACAATATTGGATCTCCTATAATAAAAGCTTTCAAACATCCATCCTGGTGTGAGTTGATGTTGTGCAGGGCCTTTCACGAACGTCTCCTTTTCCTGCCAAAACTCTGTCTTATGAAGGAGTCCTTCCAAATTCTGTTTTAGGCAGGATGTGCTCTCATTTACAGTATTGGCCACCATGAAGATGTGCTTCTCATGATGAAGTATTTCTTTTGCCACTATATTTCTGAAGGGATGAGAAGGAACACAGCTACTGCATCTTTCATTTCATTTTGAACCTTAGAGCCTTCGGGATGCATCCAGACCAAGGGCTTGTCTACATTAGCCCTAAAACTTGATTGACCACAAGTTACTCCAGGATATCCAAACAATGTCCAGAGACTTCTGGCCCAAAACACATGGTAGACCATGTTGAATTAGTTTAGCCCCACATTTAAGAAAATCAGGGGATGCTCCAGACCTTTGGTGAAATTCCAGAGCAGCCCCACATTTCAGACAGAGTGTAGACAGCACAACCAACTCCAATGCAAACTGTTCTGTTGTTCACACAGACTGGCATCACCACCCATAGGGAAAAGGCGATTGATTGGCCCCATGTTGTCCACGCTGTCACCATGGCAGATGGCTACAGAGCTTTAAAAGAGCACTTGGCCATTGCTGGGCACCTTTGCTGATATCAATAAAGACATCCATTCCACCAGGGAGAAAAGCAGGAGTATATTCGAAGCTCTGTGACTGCAGTGATGGCTATAGGTAGGGTAAGGTGGGACCAAACTCATTTCAGTCCAACTGGACCATCTGGATCAGGTATGGGCAAACTTCAGCCCTCCAGGTGTTTTGGACTTCAACTCCCACAATTCCTAACAGCCAAATTGGGAGAGTTGAAGTCCAAAGCACCTGGGGGGGGGGGGAGGGAGTTGTCAATGCCTGATCTGGATTCTGCCTTGCCACTGCTGTGGACTGGATATGGAATATGTGGTCACCTCCAGGCCAGTCCAAAGTATTGCTACTCTAAACTGATCACAGAGTAATTGGCAGGTGTAGATGGTCCCTTAGTCAAACTATAGTCCTACTGAAATCAGTGAAATTCAATGGAGTCAAGAGTAACTTGCATGTTATTCATTTCAATAGGTTGTATATTTTTTGTTGTGTTCCTTCAAATCATTTTTGATCTGTGGTGACCCTGAGACAAAACTATCACAGGATTTATATGGCAAGATTTTTTCCAAAGATGCTTGCCATTGCCTTCCTCTAAAGCTGGGAGAGTGTAATTTTCCCAAGGTCACCCAGTGTGTTTCACTGCCAGCTGGGGAGTTCATCCCTTGTCTCCAGAGTCTTGGTCCAAGACCCAAACCATTACAACTCTCTAGCTCTGCATTGCTTATTTTCAAAATTTAAATCCAATTGCTTGGCCCAACTAGAGCAGACCCACTGAATTAAATGCTGCTAAAGGATAAGTCAATATTTTTGTAAATCTCATTGGTTCAATGAATCTGTTTTAGCTGAAGCTAGCAATTTGGATTCAGGTCCAAATCTGGTTCCAGTTATCTGTTGTACAGATTATCCTTTATCTTAAGGAATACAATTTACAATGAGAAATTAAGGATTATTTATGCAAATTTTAAAACAGAAGTCATAAATTAGGACTGTATCCCACCAACAAGAACAACATCATATCACATCCTGTTGTGATTTTGAGAAGGACTACAAGGGAAAATAGAGTTATTTGAACATACCATGACATTCAGGGTGCTTAATTGGTTGAATGGGTGTATTTTCATGTGTTTGGAAAGATTTCTGTGTGGATTAGGGGCAAAAATTGGAAGCTTGGGGAATGAATAAGTATACAGTTGACAATTCACATTTGTGAGTTTCACTTTTGTGAATTTCACAGATTCGATTAATGTGGCCTTCTCTAGCAATCTCTAGATCCTCCAGTGCAACTCCGTGGTCAACCTATGCCAGAGGCTGATTACAGAGTTGCACTATAGAACCTAGAAATTCCTAGACAGAATACTTTTCTAGGCATTTGTAAGTCCTCCAGCACAATTCTAGGATCATCTGCCACCAATGGCCAGAGGTTGACCATGGGGTCATATTGAAGGACCTAGGGGATTGCTACAGAAGTGTCCTCACAGGTCAAAAAAATATCATTATATGCAATGGAATGACTGTATGTTCAGAAAGGAATCATTGGACTATCATTTGTACTTTACATATTCAAAGCTGAGTTTCAAAGTTAATAGACTTGCCAAGCAACTTTCTAGGACAAATCAAGATTGAACCAGAGTCCCGATGTGTACATACTGGCCATAGCCCCACTGTTGGATTTTATAGTCAAACAAACATTGTGCTTAGGATCCTGCTTGTTGGCAGATACTTTAACTGGCCAATCTTACTTCTGCACAGCTATGTGTATTTTGTTATTACAGTTTACTAGCGTACTTTGTTCTTATATTGGAAACATTTTTATTACCATATCATAATATGATCTTGAAAAGTACATGATAGTATTTTTACTTGGGAAACCCTACATCCCTTAGCTATGTTTTGTGGTTCTGTGTTGACAGTCCATATGCAGTTACTTTTTTTGACTGCAGGTTCTAGAATCCCAGATCCCACTTGATGAGTAGACATACTGACTGGGGAACTCTGGGACTTGTGCCCCCTAAAATATTTTTTCCAAGCTCTGGCCAGATGTCTTTTCAGCGTTTGCCTGGAAAGATTTTTCTTCATTCCATAGAAGAAAAATAAATTCTTTGCAGATGCGTATTTGTCATTACAATCTCATTGCATTCATCCATATTGATGTCTATATCTACAGAGAGAGAATGAAAAACTTGACTTGAAACATAAACACATGTCCTCAAAGAACTGGAGCATCCACACGGACTGTTTCTAATTATTTCCCTTCTCTAGACAATAAGGATTGCTGAGCTCCATATTTGGCTCTTCATGAGCTACTTTCTCTCATTGTTGCCTGGCCAGACAAGACCACATTTGCCAAGTGTTTACAGTGCACGTGGCTGTTCCTTTTACAGATTTTTTCCATTTATAAAAGGTCCTAATGTTCGTAGAATCTTCCCTGACAAAGCAAGTACCAGGGGACAGTGAGTTTTGCTGATGTGCTCCTTTTGCCCTTGCTGATCTTGTAAGTTTAGAGATCTCCTGGAGTTGGCAAATGTGTTTGGAAGTACTGGGATTTGGTGCTCTAATTATTTTTAAAAAATATTCATATGACCTTTTTATTATTCCAGATGGTTTGCTGGAAATTCGTAGCACCAGCTGCAACATTTTACTCCCACCATCAAGTGGGTTTTTAGTCTGAGAGGCTGTCTATTGGGAGTTCTTTGATTGTGCCTTCCTGCATGGCAGGGGGTTGGACTGGATGACCCTTGGGGGGTCTCTTCCAGCTCTGGCATTCTAGGATTCTATATCAGGAGTAGGCAATGGATACACTTTTTCTCTCCCGTCCACCATCTCATCCTGACCAATGCTAACCCATCTTGGGTTGTTGTAGGTTTTTGGGGGCTATATGGCCATGTTCTAGAGGCATTCTCTCCTGACGTTTCACCTGCATCTATGGCAAGCATCCTCAGAGGATGCTTGCCATAGATGTAGGTGAAACGTCAGGAGAGAATGCCTCTAGAACATGGCCATGTAGCCCCAAAAAACCTACAACAACCCAGTGATTCCCGCCATGAAAGCCTTCGACTATACACTAACCCATCTTTCCTTCACTTTCTGTCTTTGAAAGAGAAGAGGAAAGGGAGGAAAGGACACGGAGGGGACTTGGGGAGAACCCCCTCCCTCCTGGCCCGCCCACCCTTCTCCAACCCACCATGTAGCCCCCAAGTTAGAAAATTTGCCCATGCCTGCTTTAAAACGATCTAGCCTGGCCACATGTCTCTCATTTTTCATCCACAAGGTATTGGAGGATGTGCAATTCATGGAGAACAGTTGGGCCACTGACTGGAACATAACAGAAGATGCCTCGGTAACTGTGTTACACCTCCTGCATTCGCTCATACCTGTGGGGCCTATGATGAATTTCTATCATCTACACCCACACATCAAGACAGGAGCTTAAAGTGCTTAGACATAACACAATGGAGCTAAATTGCCTCAAGAATTTTAACTGGTTCCAGAATGTCAGCACTGATTATTGCTGTTTATTGTTGGGGAAGGATGTTCTGTTTCTGGTAATGTTGAGATGGTCTTTTAAGAAAGAGAAGATAGAAAAAAATATATATGTAATTAAATCACATCTGTTATGTAGAAGATAATGTAAATGTACCCAGCAAAATAGCAAAGTCAGGAAATGTGCATGCAATTATATAGAACTACAGAGCAATTTCTGTGCTTTTGAAACTCCTGAAAATAGTTAGGGAGTTATGGACCATGTGGATTCCTCTATTAATTCTGTAGGCAATCCCTTGTGGCTGAGTATGATTGTCTTCCAAAGGTAGAGTCTTGGCAGTGGGTCTGTAAATGACTGCAGAGACCTAATCTGGATCCACACAGTTTGTCAGAATGAGGATTTAGGTAGAAGGCAGTCATGAAAGGGTTTGCTTGACGTGCCTTCCTCTTGGCACATTTCTCCCATTCACCCTCTGTTTGTGCCTCTTTAAAATTCATAGCACTGCTAGTAACAGCTGACCTCAAGTTAGAATACTTCCCAGTTCTTGGTGTTTCTTTCACATTTTTAAGGTTAGCTTTAAGCCCATCTTTAAATCTCTTTTACTGTACACCAACATTTCACTTTCCATTCTTGAGCTGAGAATAAAGTAACTGCTTTGGGAGATAGAATCATAGAATAATAGCATTAAAAGAGACCACATGGGCCATCTAGTCCAACCCCCTGCCATGCAGGAAAAGCACAATCAAAGAACCCCTGACAGGTCCAGCCTCTTATTAAAAGCCTCCAGAGGAGCTTCCACCATACTCTGAGAAAGAGAGTTCCACTATTGAACAGCTCTTACAGTCAGGAAGTTCTTCCTAATGTTCAGGCAGGATATCTTTTCCTGTAATTTGAACCCATTGCTCAAAGTCCTAGTCTCCAGGGCAGCAGAAAACAAGCCTGCTCCCTCCTTCTTATGACATCCTTTCACATATTTATAGATTGCTACCATGTCTCCTCTCAAACTTCTTTTCTACAGGCTTGACATACCCAGTTCTTTAAGTCGCTCCTTATGGGGCACGGTCTTTCATTTAAGTTGCCCTCCTCTGGACACCTTCCAGCTTGTCAATATCTCTTTTAAATTGTGGTGCCCATAATTGGATGGTGATTGTGCATTTGGACAACATAGTCAACCCAGCGAAGTTGATGTCACTTCCCAATAGGTTGTCCTTGCTTTTTCCAGAGTGCTGACATTTGTCTGCCTGTCTTCCCAAGAGATGTGCAGGATTTTTTGAAGGCAACACTGATAAAATCATTCCAGAAGTTGAGAGTGACATTTGCAGATGGTCCATGTTTCTCAGGCATACAATAGAGTTGGAAGGACAATTGCTTTATAAATGAGCATCTTGGTATCCCTATGAATGTCCTGAACCTTGAACATTGTCCACTTCATTAAAAAAAATACTGCACTCACAGAGCTCAGATGGTGTTGTATTTCGGCACTGATGTCATCTTCTTTGGAGAGGTGGCTGTCTAGGTCAACATTTTCTAGCTTTACAACATTAAATTTTAATTTTTGGCATTACAGAAGGGTTGGTTGATGACTGCTGGTAAAGCACTTTGGTTTTCTCGATGTTCAGTGAGAAGCCAAGCTTTTCATATGTTTCTGCAAAGATTGTAGTTCTTCCTCAAAATGAGCTCATGTTACATTATCATTGGCATTATATATCAGAAGTTATTGTGACCTTACTTTTGTTTTTCAACCTGTTGAGATTAAAGAGTTTGCCATCCCCACTCCCCTATAACAGAAAAACACAATGAGCTCGCTCATTTTTCATTTTCACTCCTCTCTCTGATTTCTTGTGTGCATTCCAGCAAGTCAACGAAACTTTATTTTCCTTTAATTAATCTGATTAAAGTAAACAAAAGCCTAAGATCAAAGTTGTTACTATGTTCCTCTTTAGGGTGCTAAATAACAACAGCTAGCAGCAGGCCCGTAGCCAGAATTTTGATTTGGGAGGTGGGGTGCTGAGTCTGAGTGAGAGAGGATCTACCCTAGCAAACCTTTTGTATCATTATCTCAATACCCCCATGCATATGGGATATATTGAGCATGGTGATCAGATCATGATATGAATAAACATAACAGTTTAAATAATGTACCAGTAAGGCCTTCTCACGGACCACCCTGAGAATTGGGGGGGGGGAAGCCCCTCAACCCCCCTCCCCCCGGCTACATGCCTGGCTAGCAGCATGTCAGAGATTTGTATTCATTTAAAGATTAATACCAGTAAATAGATGGAGAAGGATTTATAAATAACTTGCTACATTTAATACCTTTCCCTCAACTAAACAACAGTATTTGAAGTGTTTTTGTAACTGAATTAACTTAAGAGGTATCAAATGGAAACTATAAACAAGAGTTGTATTCTTTCTGTGGTTTCTTCCGATCAGATGTGCCAATTAAACATGGAAAAAAGATACAATCCCTAAACTTGCTGAATGTGCCTTGTCTCCAAAACTCTAGAATCTAACCTTGTTGTAAACAGGAGAAGTTGCTTTTTGGATTATAGCACCCCAAATTCCCAGACAGTGACTGCCAAGTTCTGGGAGCTGAAGTGATTTTTCCCCAAACTCTAGTTGTAAAATGCCATGACCTGTTCTGTATGCATTTGGAACATGTTCATTTTTCTATGCATATTTTCAATCGGAACATGTGGATTCTGGGAACCTTTTTCAGCACAAAATTGTAGTGCTATAAGTCCACATTAACCGCTATGGTGATATCCTATAGAGTTCTGGAATTTTGTAATTCAGGGAGAGGTATTAGAATTCTCTAACAGAGAGCTCTAATGCCTCTTCAAACTCCAGGATTCCATAGGATATTGCCATGATCATTAAAGTGGAATCAGAGTTTTATATTTGTGTAGTGTGAAAGGGACCTGGCTGTCCCTTTCATGGCAGGCTACTGTTCCATATGACCAAAGAAGTGGAGGAATGGGTGTATTAATCAAATTAATACTTTCCCAAGCTCTATTCTACTCATTCTTGCTGTAAACTCTTGCTTTTTTGGATCTTGACCCACACCTAGTTTTGATTGTGTTCCCCCTTTTCAGTCCTTATTTGCCGCTCTGGAATTCAATTGTCATTTGCTTTGTAATGCATGTTTACTTCTGCCTCATTTGGCTGACAACCAGCTCCTCTGAACTTGACTGCCAAGGATGTGACTATTGCCAAGGCCTGGCACGTAAGCCCATTGTGAATAAAAGAATACATTTGTTTTAATGGGTGAATTAGGCCATCTGTTTTTTCAAAAAACATCACTAGGTAGTATATTAAATCTTTTATATTTTTTTTTAATGTTAGAGTTTGCCTCTCAAAAATGAAGCATTCCCACTGCTTGCTTTTAAATGGCTTTTTAATGGCAAAATTATCTTTTCTATTCTGTAGTTTTACGATCTATAGGTGCTTGGATAAACAAGCCCATAAAGGAGGGGGTGCAACAACCTTGTCTCTACAGAGTAGAGCCTCTGCTATATGCACAGACCCTCCAAGTGATCCAAAACCTTAGGCTTCCAATGTTGTGGAAAGACCTCTTTCATAAAGGTGTCCCTTAATCAGACTGTTGCTTTTCACTTATGGAGAGTGATGATGGAATGACCACGTTCCCCTCCTCATGGGTTTACTTAATTTGGTTTATTTACACCAGATGTCCTGGATTGCAATTTTGGTTTCAAAATCAAGAGTTTACGATGACACATCCAGCCCTTGCCCACAGCTTGGGGAGGTAGAGGGCTGGCTGCTTCAACCATGCCATAGATCTCCTTTGTTTAGAGCAGCTCCCTGGAATTTAAGGTGGATTTCAGGGCTTGATGCCTTTGTTTAGGTCATTCGTAGCTCCACTGATGTACTTATGAATGTGATGTAGGCTCTCAGCCTATACTTTTAAAAATAACATAAGATATCTATCTATCTATTTCTTTATTTACTATATTTATACCCCACCCTTTTCAACCCTGAAGGAGCCCCAAGGCAGCTATAAATATAGGAAAGTATTCAATGCCTTGAAACAACATATAATTAAAATAACATAGTACATTTAAATTAATTCACATTAAAACATTTAAAAACATTACAATTTCTATTAAAACCATGCAATCTACAATAATAGTCGGGGCCATTCCAGTAATCATTGCACATAATCCATATCCATCAGTTCATCTATTGCACTGCAGTTATTCATCAAAAGATTGATCTCAAAGCCATGTACGCCACATTTTCACTTTCCTCTGAGGGCCAGGAGGAAAGCTGCTTATCTAATATTGCTGGAGAGGGAATTCCACGGCCAAGGGGCCACCACTGAGAAGGTCCTTTCTCTCGTCCCCACCAGTTATGCAAAACAGAGAGAAGGAACATCAGTTTGATTTCCATAATAAGATCATATTGGAATATGGAACAATTAAGCTGCAAGCATTTCTGATAGAGGTGTTTGAAGAAATGGAAATTCCTATCCACTATTTTTTCTGCAGGACATTGGCCCCTATCTCTCTATTTTGCAGGTTGACAACAGAACATCCAGGACACTATGGTGAAGATATGGACATGATGTTGTATGCTTATGATCATTACATTCGTGGAGCAACCACAACTTTCTCTGGTGTGGAGAGGTTAGTTTCAGAAATTCATATATCCTTTTGAAAGCATAACCTCCCCCTAATGCCAAGAGATTACTTATTAGATTATGACTTTAAAAAATGCTTGTAAAGTATAAAGCATGCCCAAGGAAGATAGTAGGAACCATGACAGTTTTGGAAGGCATAAAAATCTACAATTGTCTTCAAGCATTTTATAGCAAACTCCAAAACATCATCAAATGAAGGGTTTGCTCAAGAGCCAGAAAACTTGAATTTCAAATCTAACTTGGGCTAATGATTGCCAGCCCAAATACTTCAAAATTATGGTAAAATCTGTCTTGAAATGGCCAAACTGAAATATTTCATGATGGTTGTTTTTTATGTTTACCCAACACATAGTCACACAAATCACAAAAACATGTGTGACATCCAATAATGGTGAAGTAGTTACTATGTTGGTTTGCAGATTGGGAGTTCCAAAAGTTAGTTTCCCAACCAGGTGACCTTTGACTATTCACTCTCTCTTAGGCTGAACTATACTGTACAGAGTTTTGTGAGGATAAGGAATGGAGAGGAGAGACAAGCATTTTCTATTTGGGGTGGAATTATGGGATATAAATACTCCAAATAGATAGAAAGTTCGAAAACATGCAAACGTGAATAGATCAATAGGTATTGCTCTGGCAGGAAGGTAACGGTGCTCCATGCAGTCATGCCGGCCACATGACCTTGGAAGTGTCTACGGATAACACTGGCTCTTCAGCCTAGAAATGGAAATGAGCACCAACCCCCAGAGTCGAACACGACTGGACTTAATGTCAGGGGAAAACCTTTGCGTTTACCTAGATAGAAAGATAGACAGATAATAAACAGACAGGCAAACAGACATCACTTAGAGCTGGCCACAGACTGAAAACCTTTCTCTTTTTAATATCCTGTACTGATATCCATCATTACTCACAACTCATTAAAGCTTGTATTCTATTTCTCTTCCCTTGCAGAGATCGTCAGTGGAAATTTATTGTCTGCAGGATGACAGATTTTGACTGTCGGTTTGACAACCTCTAGAAGCATCCATTATATACTATGTTCAGGAGGAAGAGGGGCAGGTTGTTTGGAAAGTTGAAAGGAAAAAAAGGAAGATAAGGCATTATATGGAGTCTGCTCAGCTCCTTTTACAGAGACAGTGCTTGAAAAAGTTACTTTTTTGAATGATAGCAACCAGAATAGCCGGTATGTGAAATACTGGATGCTGAAGTCCAAAAGTAACTTTTCTAAGCTTTCTGTAGAATCACAGTCAGCCCTCCACATTCTCTGGGATAAGGGTACAGAACCCACATGAAAGTAGAAAAGCTGCAATAAAACCCCTACTGTTTTTTTTACCTGTGAGAATATCTCTGTAGGATCTTTAGATCTTTCAATATGAATCTGCAGAGGACCTAGAAAGAGATCATATTAATCAAATTGGCAAATAATCAAATCATCAAAAGTTAAACCCATCAGTGTGGAGGGACAGCTGTATAACTCATCTTCTGTGAAATGGGCTGGTAAGTGCAACACTGTTCAATTCTTCAGGCTCATCCATGTGGTCCTTCATTCATGATTAAATGTGTTGCTTCACAAATTCTCTGCAGAGCATGCGTGCAGGGTTCTTTAGCATCTGCTGCTTCTGATATAAAGCTTGATGGATTTTTTCCTTTGCTGACTAGTCCATCTGCACATGTGCTCATCTTGATTTTTTCCGCAGCAGCTTTCAAAACCTCTGCAATTTACAAAAGGGATGACTAAAGCTCCTTAATCTGTGTTTTGCTGATGTAAATCAGAGCTATTCCTTTGCACACAGATCCTACCACTGTGTGTGTCCTTCTCAATACTCCATATTTGAGATCGCAGAGCATTACAAAGATGTTTTCAATGACACAATGTACTAACTCATACAAATTCTCTATTTTTACATTCTAGCTGGGAAGGACATTTGCAATTGTATGACTAAAGCTCAGTATGTAAACTAATGACACCTTGCTAACACTTGCTGTATAGAACAAATGAAGGACATGCTTTCATCGAGGAGCATTCAAGACTTGGCCATGAACTTGAATCAATTACAATGTTTATATTGTAGGGTCAATTTAAATCCCCAAAGGAGAGATACTTCACAACCAAAAGACAACAACAGTATAGAAACAAACTGAGGATTTTACTCTAAATGCTTGTATTAGATTAGAACATCTTTAATTTGTTTAGTATTTACAAGTGCACTATGATTTATTATGATTAACTCAAGAAATAAAGTAATTTGGTGATGCAATAACTTTCATTTTTTCCACAAATATGTCTGAACATTCCCTAACTGCCAACAGAGGACCTTAGCATCATGTTCTTTGACATGTCAAGATGAATTCCTAATCCATAACATCAGGAAAATGTGGGCGGCATAATCTTTAAAAACACTCCACTTTTAAGACTGTGGATACCTAAATCCTTGTGAGTAATGGACCTGAGACTGTACCTCACCACTTGAAAAGATAGTTATCACAACAAAAGAGTATTTTGTGTCTAAATATCTCTGTCTACAGCATCGCTTCAAGGCCATCCCTAGAAACCTGATACTTTCTGTACATAGTAAAGAGGACTCAAGGATGTGTTCCTCTTAGGGTTAATTGGTTTTAAAATAAAGTAATTACTTAATGATTTTAAAAATTGTCTAGAACAGTGGTTCTCAACCTTTTTAATGCTGTGACTCCTTAATACAGTTTCTCATGTTGTGGTGACCCCCAATCACAGGCATGCAGCCGGGGAGGGGGGGCTTTGGGGGGCTTCAGCCCCCCCCCCGAAATTCTCATGGTGGTCTGCGAGAAGGCCTTACTGGTACATTATTTAAACTGTTATGTTTATTCATATCATGATCTGATCACCATGCTCAATATATCTCATATGCATGGGGGTATTGGGGTAACGATACAAAAGGTTTGCTAGGGTAGACCCTCTTTCACTCAGACTCAGCCCCCCCCCCCCCAAAAACTCAGCCGCCCCCCCCCCAACAAAAATCCTGATATGGTGACCCCCAACACTAAAATTATTTTTGTTACTACTTCATAACTGTAATTTTGCTACTGTTATGAAGTGTAATGTAATTATCTGAAATGCAGGATTTTCATTCACTGGGACAAATTTGGCACAAATACCCAACACATGCAAATTTGAAAACTGGTGAGGTTGGCGGGGGGAGTGATTTTGTCATTTGGGAGTTGTAGTTGCAGAGATTTATAGTTAATCTACAATCAAAGAGCATTCTGAATTCCACCAACAATGGAATCGAACCAAATTGGGCACAAAGAACTCTCATGACCAACAGAAAATCCTTGATGGGTTTGGTGGACACTGAGTTTTGGAGTTGTAGTTCACCTACATCCAGAGAGCACTGTGGACTCAAACAATGATGGAGCAGGACTAAACTTGGCCAAAATGCTCAATATGCCCAAATGCGAACACTGGTGGAGTTTGGGGAAAATAGACCTTGACATTTAGGAGTTGAAGTTGCTGGGATTTATAGCTCACCTATAATCAAAGAGCATTCTGAACCCCACCAATGATAGAATTGGGCCAAACAACCCACATAGAATCCCCATGCCTTGAAGGGACTTGCTGGTGTGAACCTCACTGTGCCTCGCTCACACATGTGCACCACGGTGTCATGCACCAAGCACGCCTGCTCTCCCCTCTCTGCTTGGAGTCCAGAAACAGCCCTCCCCTTGGCTAAGAAGCCAGCTGGGAGCCTGGCCAATCACAGCAGAGGAGGGCCTTTGGTGGGAGGATTTAAAAAAGGAAGACGGCAGGCAGAGGTATCTTCAGCCCACGACCAACAGAAAATATTATGTTATCTCATGGCCTCTGGCGACCCCTCTGACACCCTCTCGTGACCTCCCCCCCTCCCCCAGGAGTCCAGACCCCTAGGTTGAGAAATGCTAGAACCATATTCAGCTGCTAAATCCCAGACATTCCCTAAGCAGCTTCCCTGCTATTTCTTACTCAGGACTCCTCCAAATACCTATGTGTTTCTTTGTCTAGCTGCATCGGTGTATATGATATATGTCTGTGTGTATGCAAGAGAGAGAGAGACAGAGAGATTGCAGCTGCTGTTGTCTGGTAGCAATGAGAAAGCAGATAGCAAGAAATAATGAATCACAGGAAGAAGAAGAAAATACTCAGAAACATGAAATCAGGATGGGAAAGAAGAGAAAAGATGGAGGTGAGGGTAGAAATTGCTATTAGTGATACATAAGGTAATTGAAACTAGAGTGATCTAACAACAAAAAGACATAACTGGGAGTTAGGGTTTCAAGTTAAAGGGTGATATATCCAGTCAGGCTGGAATGTCCTACTGTTGGAAAATTAATAACCACAGTCATTACTGATAGGTGATGCCTACCTGTTAGGCAAACAGGTGACATTTTACATTATTCTAGATAACAACCTATCTTCTTTAATATATAAGAATATAAATGTCATTGTAGATCTGGCCTTCTGCCACCATAGGTCCAATTGTGCCTTGATCAATTAGTCTTTCATTTTATGGAACCTGGACGCTAAGCCTACTTACTTTGTAAGAAAATCAAATACACTGAGCAGACACATATTCTGGAAAAAGGACAGTCTGCATGAATTTGCAGCTGATAGAATTACAGGAGCTTCAGCAAGGAGCAAACAACTCAGCATGATACGGCCTAAGATCTGCACTTTGTTCACAAAAGTGTCCTTGTTTTAGAAGAGCCTCCATGGATTTGTTCTAGCCTGTTTCAGAGACTTTATCTCACTGTAGTCCTTTGCCAGCTCCTGGTGCTTGCCATGCTTCTGGCTCCTCACTGTCTCTTTCAACAGTTGTATCATGTCCATTGTAATGCTTGTCCAGGGCCTCTTAAAAGGCACAGGAGAAAATTATTCTTCTGTTTTCTACATTTCAAACTTTATTGAGACACTGGAATATTGTGGATGAAACAATATTCATGAATTCTTGGTATGTTTTCAGCACCCAAGAAACCTCAGAAGTGTCACATCAAACCCATGAAATAATGTAAGTGTATCCAGTAAATACGTTGCTATGCTTCAATAAATATATTGAGAGCCAGAGTGGTGGAATGGTTTGAGCACTGGACTATGACTCTGGAGACCAGAGTTCAAGTCCTTGCTCAGGCATGAAAAACTTATGATAGCTTCACGTCACAGCGTCACCATAAGTTGGACATGACTAGAAGGCACACAACAACAAAATGCTCATGATCTGTTGCTAGGGAAACAACAAGTTTTCTATTGTATTCTTCAGTTTTGTCCCATCATTCATTGTACCCAACACAACATCATCCATGATATCTGAGGCTGGATGCTGCAAGAGTATTGAGACAATATCAATACACTAACATTTATTTCACAGCACAAAGGCACACTTTCTACTTGGCCAAGACCCATACCTTCAAACCTCTCAAGGAAGATGTACAAAAAAGGCAGAGGTAATGTTTTGCTGACTGAAGCTTCTTTGTAATAACTGCATTCCAATCTTTATTAAATATCTTCTAAACCTGAAAATGCAGAGAATGTGCAGAGAAACCTGCTTTTCTGTCTCTGAAAGAATTGCAGTACCTTCCGCTGTTTGGGCAGACAGGTTTCCATTAAGAAAGATAGATTCAGGCAGATATTCTAGAAAATACTGTTCCGAAAGAAGCAAACACAGAAAGAAAATTGAGCAGTAAATTAGGTCTTCACAGAAATTACCTTCTCTTTTTTATTTCAAACTAAGCTGACTCACATACCAAGTCAGACTATGTCTCCACTTTTATCTATTCTGCCTGTCAATAGTTCTTGGGCTTTAATTTTACAGTCTACCATTCGGCTGCACACCTTCCAATATTTCAAGAATAAAAACTGGGAACCATGTGGCCAATGAACATTGTTGTTATCATCATCATCATCATCTATACCACATCTTTCTCCCTGATGAGACTCAGGGGGGGGGGGGGGGGGGGGGGGGGGGGGGGGTAACAATTCCACACTTTGGTCATTGTTTAAATAGTGCAATACAAGTTACAAAAACAATTAAATAGCACATTGTGGATTAAGGTAAAAACAGATTAAAATATAAACATTACATGTAAAATAACCTTTAAAACTAACAGATAGCCTTTAAAACATCAGAATGCAGTTAGGAAAGCATTTGCTAATTGAATGCAAACTACTTTTCTCAATTGAACGCAGTTTGTCATAGCTGAAGTCAGCAAAGGGAAAAATTGGAAGGAGGTGAGAGCAGCTGTTGTTATTTATTCGTTTAGTCATTTCCAACTCTTCGCAATCTCATGGACCAGCCAACACCTTCTGTAGGCTGTGACCACCCCCAGTTCCTTCAAGGTCAAGCCAGTCACTTCAAGGATAACATCCCTCCATCTTGCCCTTGGTCAGCCCCTCTTCCTTTTTCCTTCAATTTTCCCCAGCATCATTATCTTCTCCAAGATTTCCTGTTTTCTCATTATGTGGCCAAAGCCTCTAATATCCTTCTCTCGGTGAGTAGTCGGGCTTTATTTCCTGAAATATGAACTTGCAGTCCAAGGCACTCTCATGAAAGGCACTGCAGACTACTTCAACCAGAGAAGTCAGCCATAGCAGAGCACCTGATGAACCAGCCTGGACACAGCATATTATTTGAGAACACAGAAATGCTGGACCACTCAACAACCACCATGTCAGACTACACAGAGAAGCCATTGAAATACACAAGCATGTGGACAATTTCAACAGAAAGGAGAGACCATGAAAATGAACAAAATCTGGCTACCAGTATTAAAAAAACTCTAAAATTATAACAGCTAAACAACAGAGAGGAAAAAAAAACAGGCACAGATTAACACCTCCCAGCAACAGATTTTCCCAGGCTCAGGCAGGCCTTCAAATGCTAATGAAGGTGATCAGCTAAACATTCACACCTAACTGCAGCAGGGAAGAGCTCCTTGCCCACCCCAGCCATTCCACAGATATATAAACCCATTTTCCTAGTTCCAACAGACTTCACTACCTCTGAGGATGCTTGCCATAGATGCAGGCGAAACGTCAGGAGGAAATACCTCTAGAACATGGCCATATAGCCCGAAAAAACCCACAAGAACCTAGTGATTCCAGCCATGAAAGCCTTCGACAATACACTCTCAGAATTTTCTTCCAACATCACAGTTCAAAAGCATCTATCTTCCTTTGCTCATCCTTCTTTATGGTCCAGCTCTCACATCCATAGGTTACTACAGGGAATACCATTGCTTTAACTATGCGGAT